ACCTTCCTTCCGAGGAGTGGCTGGTGGGTTTGAACTGCCAGCCTTCTGGTTAGCAGTCAAGTGCTTTAGCCACTATGCTACCAGAGCTCCTATTACATATATGTATTTATATATATATATATATATATAATATTGTAGGCATGTTCTACTTTCAGATAGATGGAGAAACCTACATTTTGCTAAAGAATTAGTGCCATAAACAGTAATCAGGTTTATAGGTGAACTTAAAAAAAATCATTAAATTCATAATATCGTCTTACTATGATATTAAAGGATTCTTTAATAAACTAAATAACACTTGCTTATCTAATCAAAATCAGTATTAAGATCAGAAAATTATGTGTTACAGGAAGAAGGTAAAAGAGAAGAAAGGGAGTTTCTACTATGATTTTGTATTACAGCAGTTGGAATAAGGTGACAAAGTCTCCTTGGCTTGTTTACACCTCCCTTTCTCCTTTCCATTGTTAATTCCCTCTCTTTTCTACCAGACTTCAATACTACAAAACCTAACTACTTCACAGGTTTATTCAAATTTCATAAATTCCTCCTTGCTTTGATATCACCTGCCTTTCACTTCACCTCTTTCAGAATTCTCATTCATCTCAACTGGAAGTTAAGGTGGAAATATTTTGATTCAACTAGTTCACACTAACTTACTATTCTTAGAAATATTAGCATTTTGAATTAGGATACAGATTAAATGAAATAGATCTCCAAAAGAAAGTCAATAAATATAAAATAATGAGACACTATAAGGCTGAGGGAGAACAATGTGTTTATTTTACTATTTTTGACTGCGTTAATACCATATAGAAATGTAGAATATATGCACAAACTGGACCTGTGTTGCTCTAGAATCATGTTCTTTATTGCTCTTCCTAAAGTTATGTTTTTCGTATTTACTGGTACATTAAGTCGATTCCTACTCATAGTGACCCCCATTGGGTTTCTGAGGTCGTAAATCTTTACAGAAGTAGATCGCCCCATCTTCCTTCCATGAAGAGGCTGGTGGGTTTGAATTGCCAACCTTCTGGTTAGCAGTCAAATGCCTTAGGCACTGCACTACCAGAGACTTGGAAATTCATATCAATATCTTAACCTTAGACATATTTAGGATCATTAGGACACATGTAAACAATTTCACTGAAACTGATGTCATTAAAATTATGATGGACCTTTCTCAAGTTTCCAAATCCCATGCATAATTTTATGATTTTGTCTTCTTGCCTTCTCTGCCACAGTTAATAATGTTGGCCACTGTTGTGTTTCCCTATGTTTTATGACTGAACGCTGTTTTGGTTCTGTAATCTGTTGGTCATGAACTTCTCACCATTCTCTTTTGCCTTTATCTTGAATGTTGGTGTTTTCCAAAGCTTCACTATAGCTCTCTTTTCATTTTATGTAATAATCTTAGAAAATCTCATGTATCTTCTT